GAATCCTATGAATTTTCAATTTAGGAGGCGACGAAGATCAATTTGTCATTGTCAGCCCTCGGTAACGTAATCTCTGCCTTAGTCGACGGCAAAAGCACGCACATTCCGTACCGTGATAGCAAACTGACTCGACTATTACAAGGTCGGTTATTTTGATTTTTATTACACTTTGTTTTTCAATAGCCCCATTATGCAGCGAATTTATCGCACACGCTGTTTAAAAACAGCTACCGTGCCTATCCAATTCGTGGACGTTCTTCTTTAACCAGGTAGTCTTCTCCGCAATCGCTGAGAATGTCTCACTTTTGCGCTCCACAGTAAAAGAGAGCTCTGTGGTCCTTATAAGTGCCTCTGTAAATGTTCCAATTGACGCTTGTACTTGTTGCTTGGTAGAATGGCGGGTGAATATTCAATTTTTGCTGTCTGCGCTCATGCTCGCGGGGTCTGTCTTATAGCGGAAATTTGTGCAGACCTCACTCATTAGGGTCCGAGTTGCAGCGGCGCTGTAACCTGTCCTATGTGCGCAGTTCCGTTACAAGGGCCGCATCGCACTTGAGTGATGACACCGATGCTTGTAGCCACCTGGTTGCTGCTCATCAACGCAACTAGGATCTCTTGGCCCCTATCCAATCTATAGTTGCAGCTGATAGTTTAAGCCGCCGTTAATGACATCAGGGGATATTTGCAAAACTCCAGTTGAAGTCGCCTGTTCCAAAAAAATTCCAGAGGAAGACGAACTTTTGGAAGAGACGCAACTGAAGACTCAAGTCTGATCGGGAATACGAACTGCTTCAGCTGAACCTTCTTCAAAATTATTTTCAGACTCGCTTGGTGGTAATTCGAAAACGGTAATGGTAGCATGTATAGGACCAGCTTCATATAATTACGAAGAAACGCTAGGTAAGAGGAATTTTCGGAAATTTTTTTCGTTGGAGTTTTTCCATGGGAGGAAGCCAAGTAATTCTTCTGTGAATTCGATAATGCTTGTCTTAGGAACATTACGATATGCGAATCGAGCAAAGAACATCAAGAACAAGCCGAAAATCAACGAGGATCCGAAGGATGCGATGTTGCGAGAGTTCCAGGTAGGCTTAGAGACATGATGCATTTATGCCCCAAATGACCGCAGTTTGGAAGCTGGAGGGCAGAATGGGTCAGAGTTATACCAAAGGGGCAAGTCGATGCTAGGCACGAGCATGACAATCCGTTCAGGCCTAATTGCGACTCAACAGACGCTGAAAAAATCTTCTGTAGCTACTAGCATTGCGTCTTAGAACAGGGGGCTGAAATTGTGCGTTGCTACCATGTCCCAAGCCTTTTATAAACCATATTTGCGCGATTGCATTTCCAAATGAAATCATGGCGATTTACGTGGCCATGTATCTGGAGAAACGGTCAAGCCGGATAAGGACGGGAGGAGCGGTTGCTCTTTTGAACTTTGAAACGTATTCTCCCTACTTTTCCTTTGCCTCCTTCGTCCTCTAAAATTTGAAGTTAGTTTTTCAAACAAGTGTTAGAGCTCGACAGTCGTTCGTGGCCGAGCAGTATTTCAACGAGCAACAGCGTGCAAAATCGCTGCCGATCGTGAGCATGCTCTCAAGGATAAGAACGCTTATTCAGGAGGTAATACTTTTCTCATCTTATCCGTGGAATAGGAACCGAATAACACTCACTAGCCCACTTATCAGAGGCGTAGCTCATACTGAAGGTGTGGGAGCAGTTAGGCGTACCCTTATGCCCTCCTTACTGGTTCATCTGTATTTCAGTGAGAAAAACGATGAAGAGGAGGCACAGTGGTGAATCTTGCTCGCCCCTACCACCACCGTGGACTTTACATCCAATTACTGCTCTGAAATTTGGGTTCAAAGATTGCACACTTGACTGGGAGGTGGATCGTGCCATATGAGAAGTGAGCGGGTCTGCAGGTGTATAGAAGCGTGCCGCTTTCTCCATTCGGAATTGCACAGAAATGAGGCTGGATTGTACCGTCAGGTGGAAGTCGTTTGGGTCTCCGCCCCACATCCGCAACTGCTGCATGTGCGCCGAAGGTCGCTTAGCGAACAACATGACCGGCTGGTTGCTAATGATTCTTGGTTGTCCCTGTCCACTCCCTACTTAACGAGAGAGGCGCAGACAAGAAGCGCGACTGACTTGACCAGGCGTATAACTTGTCGTGTGGCGTGTCACGTGCTGCGTGCTTTGCCCACGGGTGGAGTCCCAAATGGCATTTAGCCACCACTGCTCGTTTCCGCGCTTCGTGGAGTGACTAAAGAGGCACACTTCCCTTAGCTGCATCCGTTTACCTCGCGTGGCATAGAAAGGGCCAGGATCATTGGAGGTGAAAGCAGGGCGTAAATCCGAGTGTTCAGTGTTGTACAAGTTGTGCCCAGAAATCAGTTCACTTGTTTTTCAGGAGCGTCGACGAATCATTGCTGATCTGGAAGAGAGACAACGGCAGTTGGAGCGAGAACAGCAAGCGCAACAGGAAGTAGCTGAAACGATTGCTAAAATGGAAAGCAAACTTCTCGGTGGAACAGATCTCCTGGATCACACAAGACAGCAAGAGGCCGAACTGGAACATCGACGGCGGGAGCTGGCCGAGCAAAAGGTTACCGTTACTTCAGTCGCT